GCTTGAGTGAGAGACAACCACTTTTCATTTATTATATATGCTAATATGTTATTTTGTGAGTACTTTGCTTTATAAAAAATAAAAAAAAGTAACATGAAATTTGTTGGATTCAAGCTTGAATCCCCCTTTGATGGGCCGAATTAGTTTATGTATATTAAAAAAAATATTTTAATCAAATATTCAAGCAAGATTATGATGTGTTTGTCTTGGTGAAACAATTTGAATTAAATGCAATTAGTTATCATATAAATTGGGGCACAACCCAAGAGAACATCCTCACTGGCCACAGACCAATACTTTTGGCAAAATCTGGGATTGAAACCATCCGGACCAAGAGTTCCATTCGGTTTACTTGATTCATTAATTGCCCTCTCAAATTCCTCCATGTTCAAAGGCGTTAACAAATATGAGATATGGTCACTTGTAAGCATAGGAACATTCAAATCATTTAGATGAACCAAAAAAAAAAAAAAAAGCAGGGTTTGACAATCGCCGCATGAAATGAGAAACAGCCAAATTGGATAACTGTTGCTGACAAGGAATCCATGCATTACTGAATGAAGTCTTCATGAATAGATAAAATGAAGAAAAAAATGATAAAAAAACAGGAAGCTAAAAATTATTAGATTTCAAATCAAGTTTGGTAATAATACTTTATTTGGTATTGATAGCACTAAATTTGTAGATGACAATAAATTTTTGTTGACATTCCATGTTTAGTATTTAGTAATTTTCAGTTTTTTTTTTTGGGATCATTTTTCCCAAATTAAATCCAACATATATAGTGAGGCCATTAAATGGGCGGGGCTCATGCAAAGGAGCCCAGGTGCATCATTTGGATGCTTTGACCCAAAACAAAATAGCAACATTTTATGTATTTGAAATAAATACTAACTAGAGTAAATGGGTAATGTCTCTCGTGAAAATACAAGGTGAACAATTGATTGAAAGCGCACTTATCAAATCAGAAAATTGTAGAAAAACGTTGAAGTTGATAGTTTTTGCTCATTATATGGAGAAGGAAACATCATAAATATTTCTCATATTTATTACTTTTTCTCAAGCTAATTCTTCTATGCATGCAATTAATAGGAGTAACTTTTAAAATAAATGGTTAAAATAAATATTAATGTGTAAATTTGTTTAAAAATTTTTTACTCAAGAGCACAGGATACTTGAAAGTTTTTTAGTTTAATATTACACCAGAAGTTTAAGATAAAAATTTTGCCTCCTATCGTTAAAGAAGTTATTATTTTAACAATCAACATTAATTTTTAACACATAATTGAAGATTTTGGAAATTTTAAAAATTAATTTAAATTTATATTTTTTTAGATTTATTGTTATCTTTTTAGAATTTTATCATTTACTATTATCTTTCAAAATATTTACATAGTGTAATTTGTACTATAAAATAATTTTTATATTAAGGTCGGGGAATATGATATTTTGACTATGAGAGCTGTTTGTTTGTTTAGAAGTGCATGAATGGGAGGTTTTCTTTTAGAAAAGAAATTAAAGATGACAATCTCAATTTTTCTCTTCCATAGCATGCATCATAGTAATATTTCCCATCAAATTTTTCACAATAAAATTGTATTCTTTAATAAGCCTTTTTTATTATTTAATCATAAAACAATATCAAAAATTAATAAATTTAATTTAGCAATTCCCAAGTTCTTATTAGCTATTTATGACAAAAATTTTGTAATTCCTTAATAAACTTTTGTTCTTATTTAATTACAAGATAGATCTAGAAATTAACAAATACATGTTGTCAATTCAAAGTTCTCATTAACTATTTAAAACAAAACTTTTGGAATAAAGTTTTCGCTCGAGCGCAATCCACAGGTGGGATAGGTAACACCCCCCCCCACAAAAAAAAAATCAAAGAGTTTTTAGGAATTGCAAATAGAGCTTTGAACTTCTAAATTTGGAGCTATATTAAATGAGTTTGAATTTTTAAAATTTTTTAGAAAATCTAATTCTAACAAAGATGGGAAATACCTATGTTCAAGAATGAGTTTTCTTTTTTGAAAAACAAGAAGTTTTCATCTTGTAAGGGAATCAAATGGGTTTCAAGAGGCATTAAAATGATTACACAACTAAGTGATCTTAGAGTAAGAGTAATGTGTTGTCACATCCTGGAAATTTTCTCCTGGATATAGAAAATTAAAAATTGGGATGAGGGTCAATATAGATACTAGACGGAGAGATGAAACAATTTATGATATAAAACCCCGATAAGGTCTAGGTTGGCATTTACGTAATTATCAGTCTTATGAAGGGCAAAACGGAAAAATTTGAGAAAAATTATAGAAAATTCCTGAAAAATAGAAAAAGTATAAATTAAAGGTTTTGGAACCCATTTGAGGCCCAAAAGGTGAAATTATAGTGAAGATTAATTGTTATGGAATTTTTCATAAACAAAGGTTTTTCGGGAAAATATTGAAAAATCAGATAAAAATAATTATTTTAATTAGTTAGAGGTCTCAATAAATTTGAATAAATATGGATAAATTATTTAAATATTTATTTGAATTTATAAAATTAGTTTTAGGCTTTGAAAGTTCAGAAATTAATTTTAGAGAATTTATTTTCCCCCATCGACACCGATAAATATCTAATCAGAAAAAATTCATAATAAATACCTAGAGGTGGAAAGAAATTCTGAAAATTTTCAGATCATGTTCTGATATTAAAATATGAATTATCATGGAGAGAAATAAATTTTTGGAGGTCTGAAAAAATTATAAAATGTTACTAGTGAATAGTAATCGATAAAGTTTCAAATTGGTTTGGGATTTTGTTTTGGATTGTGGGCCAACTTTTTGGATCAGCCCAAACCATTTGTGGGGCTCAAATTGAGCCCAATAAGGGCCTAATTTTGTTGCTTGCTGGCTACTCCAAGCATTAATTAAAATAAATGCAAAAGTAAGGGATAAATGCTTGGAAAAATCTAGAAATTGACCACTTGTTGAAATTTGACTTCTTCTAGCATTTGATGACTGCCACATAACCCCCATGAGGTGACAAATTTCAGCCAAATAGGGAGAGGGAAGGCAGATCGGATTTTTCTATGTAGACTCCTTTGGAAAATACAAATAAATGTTGAAAAATTGGAAAAAATAAGGAGAGACTCTGTCACTGTAGCTCCAACTCCATTTGGCTGAAATTCTCAAGTGTTTTAGGCAAGGAATCATCCAAATTACATCATTAAGGCTTTGTGAGGAGGAGATGAGGAGAATTATTATCCCTTGAGGTGACTAAATTAGACAAGTATTAAAAGGTAATTTTGAATTATAATTTGATTGTATATCTTGCATGTTTAATCTGATTTGTTGTTTACTTAGATTGAGGAACTTGAGTTGTGATTTTGGTTGGTTGAATAACCTTAGTTTATGCTTTGGCCAAATGTATTGAATTGTGTTAATGTGAAAGTGTTGATGTTTCTCTCTTAGCATGAGACTAAGCATGATTTTATGTGACTTGAGGATGTTTTGAAGTTCTATAACATGTCACATTGTAACTTGCTTGATTTGCATGATGATTGTAATTTAAATGCTACAGAGATTTCATAGAAATCTCATTCCTCCTATGTTAAATTATGTCTCAAATAGGAAATGGCTCATTCATAGATCAAGGCAAGGAATTGGTGCTAGGATGAAAGAGTATTGTGAATATTATATTGACTTGGACTATTATGTAATGTGACATCAAACTTTATGTTAAGTTTGTAATGAATTATGAAGGGCAACATGATGTAATTTAGATCTATATGACATGCCCTAATGTTGAAAATTTGAATGGTATAATGCCAAAAGGATGTGGAAAGAGGAAAAAGGAAAATAAATTCAAGAAAATAGAGTTAGGGGATAAAAATACCCTAAAAAGAGGCTAAACTTGTGATATATAAAATAATAAGCCATTGTTGGAATTTGGACTTGAGATTTTGGAGGCAAATGGATCTCATTTTTAGCTTTAAATCAAGTGGTAAACCATCAAATTTGGAATTTTGTGCTAAGAGTTATGTCTTTTTAAAGTTGGACAAAAATACTAGAAATTCAAAAATTTACCATATGAATAGTGTAACTTGTTAAATTTTCTGGTGCTGTTCTGGATAGAATTAAGTCCAATGAATATTTTTCCTCTATAGAACTTTTAGCAAGCTTAACGTCAAAATTAGAACCACCTCGTTTCGATTTTTCTACAATTAAATATGAATTTTTAAAGTTGGTTCAATTTCGGATAAATAGTGTACGAACATAATTAAATGTAAAATTTTGAAGTTGAAATTTTTCATCCGGCAACATTGGGAAACACGTCATAATGGTTCCAATTAATGTATACTGGGATAATAAAGGAGATGTTATATGACACTTAAAAATATTCTCTCTTTTATTCTCTGCAATACGTTAAAATAGAACAACACCAGACTTATCGATTACATCATGTTAAGTGAGCACGAGATCATCTCTGAGGCCAAACATTTCCTGTAATTCCACGTACGCTTTTTGTGGCATTTTTTATGCCAAAGGGATGGTGAAATATTTTGCCTTACAAAGTGTCACCATTTGTAATGAACTGGCAATTTTAGAAAATTATCTAGTGTTTTTTTTTGGTGTAATAAAAGGTAAAGTAATATTCAACACCCTGATCTTACTTTTTAAATATATTTAGGACTCTAATTTTATTTATGATGCATAAAGTATCCTTGTATTATTTTCCTGAGGCATCCAATACCATAATATTATTCATGTTGTATGTAGCACCCTGAATATTAGGATACTAGATGCAACTAAAAAATTAATATTAAGATATTGGATGTACTAGTAAAATAATTTCAGAATGTTAGATGTACTATAAATAAGATCGGGTGTTTGATATAGGTGAAAAATATGACAAGGGTGTTGATGATATTTTACCCTATATTAAACAAGGGATGACGTTAAGAACAAAAGCTGGCTGAAGGGCAAAATTGTCACGAGGAGATTATTAAATTCAGCTGCCCCTTCTCCTCACTTGCACGGTCGGATCGTGCCTCTCAGACGAAGTGAGAAACACTGCTGGGGACTGGGAGCTGGAGGAGCCAAGGGACGCGCGAGCTGAAGACGGAGGAAGAACAACTGGAAAATTTCGCCTGCAAGCGACGATCTGGACTGAGATAAGCTCTCTGATTTTTCCTCTATCCTCTGTTTCGCTGATTGGGTATACATTTGAGAGGAAGATGCGATCGAAATTTGGAACAGAGAAATCTGTTTGGGATTTCGATTTGTTGGTTGTACAAAACGCTCGAATACTTGGGGGGGGGGGAGAGAGAGAGTGTGTGTGTGTGTGTGTGTACGTGAATGGGTGCTTGTGCTGCTCAAATTGTTCTTCTTTCTCTAAATTTTGGTCAGTTAACCGAAAAGAATTCCTCTGGTTTGCTGTGCTGATAAGATGTTACAATATATACATGTATATTTGTCCGTTGGGTTGATGCTGTCTGTGTGGTTTGGTTAGCGAATGGAGGTTAGAAATTTTTGGAGTTTATTAAGAATAGTTGCGGCCGTTGCGTTTCAACGGAGATGAAATTTATAATATGGCAGCAGCTGTGACGTGTGTGTACGTACTTTTGCGCTGTCCGAAACTGAGAAGAAATAAATTTGAAAAAAGAAGAAGAAGAAGAAGACGAGGAGAGAAGGAATAGCAACGGTATGTGTGTCAAAGGATGACCTAGGTGTTGTTGAGTTAATATTCTAATAATATTTCAGATTACTAAATAAGAATTAAGGCTCTAACATGCTAATAAAGATGGTACTTTTGAAGCTGAAATTTCACAATTTACAGCAGTGATACTGCTGACACTAAATGGATATAAATATGCAGTTAAGTGAGTGACGCTGGGGCCTAATGAATTGGATTTGTGGGAACTGAACAGCATGTGAAAGTTGTTGTTATGCCTTGGCTATTAATCAATTTTGAAGGATAGTTGAATGATGTTAAAGGCTCTAAACTGATGACTGGGATTATTGAGTGTCAAACTGCATCCAAGTACACACACACGCACTCTTTCGGCCATATGCTAGAAGGGCCTGAAGTTAAAGGGCTAAGTTAATGAATTAAAATATAAAGCAAGTGTCGCAACGTGTAAACTCATATCTAAGGCAACTCTAAACTCATTTCTAAGAACAAAGTACACGTAAGTAGAAAAATAACCAAGCTAGAGGGCTTATTGAGAAGTTTAGAGTTTGGTGCTGTGAGAGAAATTATATATGCTATTGATGCGTATTAATATATGTAAATTAACTTGTCCTCCGTGTGTGTTGAGCTTGCCAATCCATGAGTATACCATGGAGTTACAAAGGTTGTACCTGTGAACCAACCTCCCAGTTATATAGGTTTTGATTTCTAACCAAGTCTACTAAGGACACGCAAAGAAAGAAATCAAGAAAATGTTGCTCTTGAAGAGGAGAAAGAAGCAAGTAGCAGAATCACGATTTCTTATTTGTATTGGTTGCATGTCTACTTGTGCCATACATACTGTAATTAAGCATGAGAATAAGTAAAGTTCCTTACCCCAGTTATTGTCATGGTTATCTGCGTCAATTGGTATTTATTTCTGTTAGATGAAAGGTGTTGTTCTCGATGGTTTGTTTTGCATTTTACATCTTGAAATATGATTTTTGCTACTGAGATTCCTCTGAATCTCAATCTTCTTCCAAAGGAAAAGGGCAGGTTTGTGGAGGAATAACTAAGGTGGAGGCTTCAAGAAGCCTCTAATTATTATATTTTCGTGGTTATTTATGCTTGCGGATGATTGTGTATGTGTTTGTGTAAGTGCTTAGCTAATATTTACTCGAGTTTATTTTATATGTTGGTATGTAAATACCCTCCATAAGGAGCACCAGCGCTGAGCACATGGCAGGATAAGTGCCATGCTGAGCATAGCTCAAAGATAATGGTGTTGTTACTGATAGCTAGATGTTACTCATCCTGAGTCGTTATTTTGGAAGCCATGGGAGAGAAATTCTGAAATTTTCCAGTATTATAGTACACATTCTGACCTTTAAAAAGGAGCCCTATGTCTTGATTGTTTGGATGTGTAGTTCAGAAGACATGGTTTTTCAAAGTTCGGTTAGAATTCCAGAATTTATGCGTGATTTCCCCTCTACAGTTTTGATTTGATAGTATATTCTTTGAGAGAATTACAGGGAAGTCTTAAGAAAGAAAAATAATTACTAAAAAAATTTAATAACGATTTAAAAATTCTAATAACGACTTAAGCAGTTTGTAAAGGCATTTGGTTTGTAATTATTTTTTTTTTGAAGATGTTATTGTAATTCTCTTTTTTTCCCCCCTATCAAAGAACTTTTCAGGAATCCCAAATAGAGTTTTGGACTACTAAATTTGGAGCTATATTAAATTAGTTTGAATTTTTAGAATTTTTCAGAAAATCTTATTCTAACAAAAGGTGGAAGTACCTATGTTGGGGAATGAGTTTTCTTTTTTGAACAAGGAAAAAAGGGTTTAGTCTTGTGAGGGAATCAAATGGGTTTCAAGGGGTTTTAAAATGATTACGCAACTAGGTGACCTTAGAGCAAGAGTGAGGTATGACATCTAAAAATCTTCTCTCTTTTGTTCTCTCAATACATTAAACTAGAACAAAACCAGATTTTTCAATTAAGTCGTGTTGAAACTAAAAGTGAGCGCAGAGATTATTATCTTTGAGGCCAAACATTTCCTATAATTCCTCGCATGCTCTCTGTGGCATTTTTTATGCCAAAAGGATGGTGAAAGACTTTTCCTTCACAAAAGTGTCAGCATATGTAATGACCTGACGATTTTAGGAGACTATTCCCTCTATGGTTGTTGAGCCATACACTCTATCTTTAGCTTTCATTGCCTGAAAAGGAAGGGGGTATTTAAAGGGGAAAAACGTGAGCATATATAGCCAATGAATTCAAAAGAATAAACATCAAGATCAAAGTTCACCTCTTGGTCCCAGTTAGTACGAATAGTGATTATTGAGAAGGATAACACTTGAACGACGAGTGCGCATATGATCCCCAGCCAAAGTCCCTGCACCATATTTAAGTTGGAACAAACATATAATAACAAGAAATCGGACTATTGCATTCTTTCTCATTGCCAAGTAAGAAATTATTGCCTCCACTCCTAAATATATGAACCAAGTAACTGTACACGTTAAGAAAAATAATAAAATTAAAAATTAGGGTGGATTGAGGTTTTACGTTTAGATTTAAAAAAATAGTTAATACAATAGGTAGTCTCTAAAATTTGTCTTTATTTTGATGTTGGTCTCTTAAATTTTGTAGTATGAATTTTGGTCCTTGAAAGAGTAAAATGATCTAAATTTTTATTAAATTATAGGAATTAATGTTTTCGACAGAAAGAAATTTAAGAGACCAAAACTGAAATAAAGGTAAATTTGATGGGCTAAAAGTTGTATTGACCCAAAAAACAAAAAATCCTCTAACTAAACTCTTACAATTAGATCGAAGGATGGAAGGAGGAGAAGGATGAATTTGCGAGACCCCCGACTTGGCAACAAATTGGCAATGGATTTAGGCCTTTAAAGGAGACTTAATACAAATTTTTTGCGACAGATTTTGATAAAGTCCATCACAAATGTCTTGTTTTCTTGTAGTGTAATTTGATAAAATGACCAAAATTAATATGATACGAAAGAAGAGACTTCACCTTGCCACCAATGTGCAAGAAAAAAGCAAGCAAAACAGCTGATGGAATCCCGACTAGATAATATGACCCAAGGTTGACAAAAGCTCCAATTTTCTGCCAACCGCATCCTCTTGCGGTGCCTAATTAATCAATAATCCATATCAAGACTTGATGATCAAATTTTAGAATAATAAAGTCTCACTAAACACACAAAAGAATTGAGGAGGAGGAAGAAGAACCTGAAAGAACACATTGGAGTCCATCCAGAAAGTTGGATACTGCAAGAATTGGCAACATGGTTGCTACATATTTAGTTACTGCTTCTTCATTACTGTAAGCTTTTCCCCAAACATTGCGTATTAATATCAACACTGTTCCAACTAAGATTCCCTCAATAATGGCCATTACTACCACGACACACACTGCTAATCGAGCAGTAAGTGGATGACCGGCTCCCAGTTCATTTGAGACTCGAGTGCTGCAAATAATAACATATAATCTTTAGCATACACTTAATAGATGCAGATCCTCTCAAAATCTTCTTTCTCCCTTTCCTCTCAGAATCCCATCTCCACCCTTAGATTAAAAAAGGATTAAGATATAAATTTGTCCTCAAAGTTTTCATTTAGGAGTGCTAGGCACCCGAAATTTTTTTTAGGGTGCATGTTTGTCTTGAAAATTTAAAATCGTAGCTATATTATCTCTTACCATTAAAAAACTAGTATTGACTATTAAAATAATAATTTCATCAATTAACAATTTGAACGGTAAGAGACAATATTACTACGATTTTAATCTTTTGGGACATATTTGCACTCAAAAACTTTCAGATGCCCAGCGCCCTTGAGTGAAAACTTATAAGATAAATTTGCACCTTAACCCATAATAAAATAGATGGTTTAGATGTAATCTTTTATAAAATGTTATTATAATATTAATTCAAATATGCATAAATAAATAAATAAAGTTAAAATATTGGAATTTAATCTAGACATTTTACAACTGTAGTATAAATTTTTTTTTTTCATTTATACAACATTTTAATAATGAAATGTTACATTTGAATCATCAATTCTTTTTAATAAGGGGTGGACAAGGGCGTCTGAGGAAAAAGGGAAAAAGAGGTTTATGAGAGGATCCTGATCCTTTACTTTACCCTATAATTCTGAAACATCATAATAAGCTCTACTTACCTTACAGCTCCACTAAGACCAAAGGGAATCATCCATACAACCGATGCTGTGTTAAGGCTGAAAAGACAAAAATTAGGATGATTCAAACATAAACAAGGTCAAGTGTGCATCAGAAAAATTGGATGAAACTGACCAGATAGATAGCACTGATGTTTCCAACTTTGGATTTGGGAGCAAACCAGATAAGAGAACCATCATTTCAAACGACCACATTTCCAAGCTGTGCATGATGCAACGTAATAATGATTTTGATCGAACAAAACATCAATTAATATCACAAACTATATACTAAATCAGTATAAAATGATTGACAATACTAAATCATAAAAGAAAATTAAATTACCAAACCATAACGGCAGAAGGAATGGCAAGTCTCAGAAAAGTGGGAATATTATGCAGAGCTTCTTTTGAAAAGCCTGACCAAGCTTTAGCACAAGAAGGAGAAAACTTCACATACAATGACAGTATCAAAACGTTAACCCAATAAGATATGGAATTTGCCAAGGCAGCGCCTCTATTTCCTAGTCCAGATTTGAATACCATAATATAACATAGAAGAATATGCAGTAAAGTGGTAATTCCAGAACTGAACACCATCGGAAACACAAGATTTTGTGTCTGTAAGAATCTGTTGAGGCATTGGAGAAGACCATAAGCAAAAAGACTTGGAATCATGAACTGAGCATAAAGTCCTGCTTCTACAGATATTTCAGGATCTTGTCCTAGGGCCATTAGAATGGAACTTGTGTTGGCCCAAACAATGGCAAGTGGAATGCTAACTGTCATAAGAACTAGCATGGCTCTTTGCATATGTATCCCCAACATGCGGTGTTGTTTTGCTCCATATGATTGGCCACATAAGGTCTCCAATGCGCAGGCCATTCCTTGCTATTTGAACCACACCAAAAAAAAAAAAAATCTTAGAGACAAAGATATAACTATTTGGCATATATGGAAATAAAAGTCTTCTGGTTTGAGATCAAGGTATTATTTGTTAGTTATTACTGATTAGTTATTCTGGATTTGAAATCATTATTGTGTCACCATCGTAAAGGCTTACAACCGAAGTGTGCTTTCTCAGTTCAAGAGCTCTTCCATTTAATAGGCTACTCTTTTAAAATTGAGCTCTTCCTTTGAACTTTATGATCATAACAGAGTACTTCCATTCGCGAGGATTTTAACAGGCAGAGGCATATTTTGTGTATCGACATAAGTTTTTGACTTCATATGGCTATATATACATACTAGTAGACAAGAGAAAAGGTTTAGCTATACTTGTCATAACTGATGCATTAGGAGGCCCCGAATTGAATTATGTAAAAAGGAGTGAAAAACAAATTGAGGCTAGCTAGGAGTGATTAAACTCACCAATAAGCTAAAACCAGTCACTGTTGCAAAAGATGTGGCCATAGAAGAACCAGAGAGAGCAAGTTCGCCTAGATGCCCAACGAACATGACGGATATAACTTGTAAGCAGAAATTTAGTAGATTCACAGATATTAATGGCCCTGCAAGCCATATTTGCTTCTTCACTTCTTCACAAACCTCACTTGTTTCTACTCTTTTTGCTTGTTTAGCTCTGTGCCAACTTTGGAGAATCCGTCTTCGCCGGAGATTTGAATCAAAGGAGAACTTAGAGATGTCGTTTGGTTCTCTCTCTCCATTGCTTTTATCGGAGAAGGAAAAGAGACGGAATAAACACGCTGGTCCTCTGTGTTGTTTTAAATGCAATCGTACATTCAGAAAACGTGAGCCCCAAGTCGCTGATAACGAAAGATCAGAACAACAATCACTTTTTACTCGCTTTCTTGGAATGTTGTCCGCCTTTGAAATCAAATCTACTTGTCACAAATAGATATAAATAAATTAAAAAATATGATTTCCTTTCGGTCACATTCACTATCTGATTGATCTTGTACCTTTGGGATACCCGTGAGCAAAATGTTTTCATTGGTATCTCGGAACGCTTAGAATTTCAAGCTTGCCCCCGGATGATTGGGATCCATGACCCTCCTAGAAAAATGCAAGGAGGGAAAAACCAAATCAGACCCTAAAACGGTTGAGCTAATAATTCAAGGATGAGTGGATCAAATCGGAATCAACCCGGATTAAACTGTTCACATTAAAATAATATAATTTGATTAAAAATAATAAAATATAACAACATTAATAATAACTAATAACAAAATATCAGAAAATACAATGAAATTTGATTAATAAAATGCAATAACATTAAAAATTTTGATCTTTGTAATTTCTCGATAACTAAAATTAATAATCATTAATATCAAAATCGTCATCAAAATTTATTTAAATATTTAGTGACTGAAATATTAGAAGTTGAATGAGAAAAAAATAGGATTAATAGCAAAATAATCATTCAAATAGATTCATCATCAGTTTACTCTAATTTTTTGCCAGTTTGCACTCAGTTGATGCTGGTTCGGTTTTTGACGAGTTCATTGCTTAAATCAAAACAGACTACTGGTTCGATCCATTATTTTTTTTCACTGGAAAAATGTTATGCTTTATTTTACTTTTTAAAAAGAAAAAGAAAAACCACAACTGCGCTTCAAAAATTAAAACAACAGTTAAAATTTTTTTTGTCAAAAATGCTAGGCATTAGGGATTTTTCTTGGGTGCAAACCTATCCCGAAAGTTTAAAATCATAGCAATATTACTACTTACAGTTAAAAAACTAACATTGATCATTAAAAGAGTAATGTTGATCATTTAGTATTTTTAATCACAGGAGGCTACATTATTATGATTTTAAACTTTCAGAATAAACTTTTGGTGCCCAATACTCCTATTCGGAGTAAATTTGTAACTTAATCATTTTAATTCAATGGTCTTCGTTATGGGATGATCAACCTATATCCATCATTTGAGATCGGCCAGGAATATTTAAGAGCAACGTATGTAGTTAGAACTTTGACCCACTTCAATAATGGATGCCATATTTTATGAAAGCAGTGGCCATCTTTAGAAGAAGATGACAGGAAATAATTGTTTTTAAGAATAAACAGCAAATAAAATTTCAAAGGCTCGTAGTAGTCCAAATGGGAGTAAATGGAGCATGGACTAGTTAGTGCGATGAGTTAAATTTTCCAAACAAAAATATATTACTACCTCTGGTCCTGATTATAAAAGACAGTTGACTAATTTGAAGAGATTAAGAAAGTAAGTTGAGTTAGTTATTTGTCCTAAATAGGTGTTGTCTTTCCTAAAATATCCTTACTAATCAAGTGTATTGACTAGAACTATCATTGTTAAAAGGACTACTTTGAAAAAAAGTGTATAAATATGAGAGAAAAAGTAGATTGGGGTCTTATATTTAGAACCAAAATAAAAGTCAAATAGAGTCTTATATTAAGGACCGGGTAATATAATAATAATAATAATAATAATAATAATAATAATAATAATAATTCTGTTTTGTTTGCCTCACTTGGTCCATCCGTTGTAGGTCGCTGACGACAAATCTTGCCCGTGCCTGATTCAAAGACAAGTGAAGCACGTCTGTGTGAAAATGACAAACCAGGACACAGAAGACATTCTTTTACTAAAATATTACTCGTCCTTGCTAAGATAGTATATTTTATAATATAATTTATATTATAAAATAGATATTATATTAAGAACGGGGAACATCGTATTTTAACTGCGAGAGCTGTTTGTTTGTTTGTTTAGAAGTGCATGAGTGAGAGGTTTTCTTTTAGCAAAGAAATTAAAGATGACAATCTCAGTTTTTCTCTTCCATAGCGTATGCATCATAGTAATATTTCCCATCAAAGTTTTCGCGGTAAAATTGTATTCTTTAATAGACTTTTTTTATTATTCAATCATAAAACAATATAAAAAATTAATAAATTTAATTTAGTAATTCACAAGTTCTTATTAGCTATTTATGATAAAAAAAAAATTTAATTCTTTAATAAACTTTTGTTCTTATTCAATTACCAGATAGATTTAGAATTTAGAAATTAACAAATACATTTTAACAATTCAAAGTTCTCGTTAACTATTTAAAACAAAACTTTTGCAATAAAATTTTCACTAAAGCTCCGTCCACAGGTGGGGTGGCGGCTAGAGGGGTGATGGCTGGTTGTAATATCCTAGACTCTAATATTAAAATTCAGAATTAATTAAGTTTTGATTAGCAAGAAAACTGAGATGTTGAGTAGTTGATTTTAGATGTTTAAAACTTAGAAACAATAAGATTAATGATTGGAGATTATATCTCTAAATGTTTCCCAGTTGTCTTGAAAATCAACAGTTTTAGAGCGTCAAACAATCTTATTTTTATTACGTTTTTTCATTAGAAAATATACATCTCAAACTTCTTAAATAGCTCTAATTTTAATTTCTGGAGATTTTTAGAGTTAGTTACAAATTTTTAAAATTGGGTCTTTACTTATTGTGTAATATTTTTTGTGAGTTCGTCATAAAAAATGCCACAGCGAACAAAACAACAAAACTGGCACTTTTTGTGTGCCATTCACTGTGAGTTCACCTTGTTGAAAGCACAACAAATGCATTGGGTTTTGGTTCATAAAATTGTGTCAAAACATGATTTTCCAAAGGGGAATGAAAGAGAAACGACTTGGACTTGCTAGGGCTTTGATTTCATTCATTTGGGAGTAGATTCAAGCTTCCTAACACTCAAGTAAGTACTCTAGACTTGATTTCTACCATTTTCTATTAGATTTTTCAAAATTTGATATAGTTGAAAAGTTGGACTTTGGGGTGATTTTGAATTGAGTGACCTTCCTACCAAAGTTTTTGGATTTAAATAACTTATATGAATTAGATAAGATGTCTAACCAAGTTTAGTTTTGCTAGATTTTAAGTTTGGTGAAGATTGAACCTAAGGTTTAATTGTTGGATTGGGGTTTATGATAGAATTTGATGTTCTAATGGTCTAAGTGGAAGTTTAATGATTGGGTTATATTTATGTAATAGAGATTTGAGGTTTAATCAGTTTAGATCATTTGTTAAGCTTGAATTTTACAAATGGATATTTTTGAGTTGAACTCCAAGTTATGAAATCGAGGCTTTGGATTGATTGGAGTAATTTGACGTCAATGATTGGATTAAATGAGTTGGTTAAGTAGACTCTAAGTTCTATGTTTGATTAATAGAATTATGGCTAGAGTGAGATTTGGACACTTAGAAGGTTAGTGCCTCTAATTGTATTGTTGTTAACCGCTCAATTAGCTCTTGTATTAATGTATAGTTATATAATTGTGAGATTGTGTGATTGTTGGCTCAAGCACATGGTTGACTTTGTAGTAATTGTCTTTCTTGCTTGAGTGAGAGCAGCTACTTTTCACTTATTATATATGGTAATATATTGTTTGTAAGTACTTTAGTTTATGAAAAAGTAAAAAAAAAAAAAAGTAATATGAGATTTGTTGGTTTTAGGCTTGAATCCGCTTTTGATGGACCAAATTATTTGATGTATATTAAAAAAATATTTCAATCAAATATTCAAGTAAGATTATAATCTGTTTGACTTGGCTAAACAATTTAAATCAAGTCTAATCAGTCATCATATAAATTGGCGCACAACCCAGAGAACACACTCACTAGCTAAAAATCGCTGCGTGTTTGGCCTTAAAAAAAAAAAAAAAATCTCTGCATGAAATGAGAAACAGCCAAATTGGTGTTGCTGGCCAGGAACCCATACATTATTGAATGAAGCCTTCCCATGAATAGATAAATTAAATCCAACATGCATAGTGAGGCCATTAAATCGGCTGGGCTCGTGGGAAGAGCCCAAATACAACATTTGGATGCTTTCACCCAATACAAAATAGTAACATTTTATTTTTAAAAAAATTATTTGAAATAAATGCTAACTAGAGTAAATGACTAATGTCTCTTGTGAAAATACAAGGTGACCAATTGATTGAAAGCGGACTTATCAAACCAGAAAAGTCTAGAAAAAAGTTCAGATTGATAGTTTGTGCTCATTATATACCGTGCAATAGGGAGAAGGAAACGTCATAAATATTTCTCATAGTTATTTTTTTTTTCTTTCAAACTAATTCTACCACGCATGTAATTAATAAGAATAATTTTCAAGATAAATGGTTAAATAAATATTAATGTGTAAATTTGTTCAGAAAGTGTTTACTCAGAAACACTCTGGATACCCGAAAATTGTTTTAGTTCAATATTAAATAGGAAATTTAAGATAACAAGTTTGCCTCCAATCATTAAAAAATTTGTTATTTTAACAATTAATATTAATTTTTAACAAATAATTGAAGATTTTGGAAATTTTAAAAATTAATTTAAATTGTAATTTTAGATTTATTGTTATCTTTTTAGAATTTTATCAATTACTATTATCTTTCAAAATAGTTACATTTAATTTTAGAATTTTTATACTATTCTCCCATTAGCATCATGAATCATCAATATATACCAAAGTTCTAGAATATTTTACTATTTACATTAAATAATGAAGTAATTTTTACCCTTTATGTAGGCCCCGCTTTTTATTCGGCATTTTTACCAAAATATTTCATATAAAAATCACAATTATTTTTAGTTTCCAACTTCAAGTCATGCAAATAAAACTTCAAATAAGACAAAGGATCAAAATACATTTTCTGAATACTTTACAAAATTATATATATATATGTATTCTTCTTTTTTAAGATCAAAGTATCCTTTGTCGAAAATACAGAC